GAGAAAAGTGTTCAGAGAATTTGGGGTGTAAAAGCACCTGATATCTGAAGGACCAGCAGATATATAATGGTTGATTGGAAAAATACCAGGGAATGTAAAGATGGTGGACATAAAGAAAAGATTGAGGAGACAGAATTCTCAGTAGAACACTATGTTGTCACTTATCAAAATCCTTTTTAGTTATTGCCTATGTCAGTAGTACTGCTTTTGAAGACTGTTGCCCTAGGATTATTTCTTCATATACCTGATAAAACTGATTTGACTCTGGGATGTTTTCAGCCTTATTGTTACAGAGGGAAAATTAGCAGTTTTCCCTTAATAAATCTGAATTATTCCAGGTTGCTGCTGATTTTGCCTAAGAAAAAAGTATGTAAGTATATTTCATCAACCAGATATGGCAACTAAATCCTCTTGTCAATGACTACCTGCAGGCAACTTTAATTAAATTATTTCTGTAGTTCAAAATAAACATTTTGGCTGTTGGATTCCCCATCTTGGGGCATTATTATAAAAAGATTTTCTTCAGGTCAAAGGATTTATTTCTATTTATTACTTGAGTGAAATTGTCTTATCAATGGCAAGTCATTATAGTTGTTTTAGGGATTGAAGCTTTTTATGTAAATTGGAAATTGTGATGTATTAGGATGCTGTTTACTAAAGAAGGGGCTCACTTTTAGAAAGAGGCATTGTTTGCTTTCAACTTACATTACATGCTACCTCCTACATTCCAGATTTGCTCATTTGTAGAGATATGTGTGCCTATTATGTGAAAGTCTCAAATTTAAGTATTTTGACGTACTAAATTAATAGGACCATTTCCTTCTATTAAGTGAACAGATTAAGTAAATATCTGTCCATTTGGGAAATGTTTTAGGTTACCTTTTTAAAAAGCTAATTTTTAAAAAGGTAACCTAAAACATTTTTAAAAAGCTAATTTTTAAAAAAGTAATTGAAAGCCAGATCTGACAAGTACAGTAAGTAGGCTGTAATGTGAAAAATATACCATAACATGCTTTATTGTCCTGAAGAGGACAGGTTTTAAGAATGGATACCTGAGCATCAGAATAATGTTTGGTAAAGTAAGGTATTTATATATGAATTAAAATTATCAAATTATATTGGGTATAAAATACATCTGAAAGCTTGAGGTAAGCAAAGGTAAACTTCTAGATGAAGTTCCATTCTGTTTTTAATTAAGTGTAGGTAAAGAAGTCTGTTTTTCTGAAGATCAAGGCAAAGGCACTTTGTCTTTATGTGAGCATCTGTTATGTTATGGCTAAGGTCTTTCCCATTTTCTTAATCCTCCAACTGGTTTTGAGGTGGATAGTTATCACTGTATTATAGATGACAAAATAAGACACATAAGAAATTACTTTGCTCCATGGTCACAATCCTTAAATACTGACTGTCCAAGGGAGGAGAGAAGACTTGCCAAGTTCTATCTTAAAGAAAGCAGTGGTTGTGCTGTTCTGTGCCCAGGAACTCCACAACTAGACTTTCAGGAGCCACAGGTGGACAAACCCATTTTGTAGGACCATTCTTCCTGACTTCTTCATCATTGGCTTTCTGGCTCTCTTAGAACAACTCCATCTGATGTAAGTTGCTTTTAGTTTATACAGTCTGGTGTTGTAGGCCCACTCAACCCAAATATCTTTCCCCTCGTTTGGTGCTAAAACTCTGTACATCAAGACAAGTACAACAGAGGTTTATTTAAAAAAAAAAAAATGGCAGCCAGATATGGTGGCATACACCTGTAGCCCCAGCACTCAGGAGAGGAGAGGTTGGAGGATTGCAAATTTAAAACCAGCCTCAGGGGGCTGGGGATGTGGCTCAAGCGGTAGCGCGCTCGCCTGGCATGCCTGCGGCCCGGGTTTGATCCTCAGCACCACATACAAACAAAGATGTTGTGTCTGCTGAAAACTAAAAAATAAATATTGAAAAATTCTCCCTCCCCCCCCCCCTCTCTCTCTCCCTCTCTCTCGCTCCCTCCCCTCTCTCACTCTATCTTTAAAAAAATAAAATAAAAAATAAAACCAGCCTCAGCAATTTAGCTAGGCCCCAACCAATTGGTGAACCCTTAACTCAAAATAAGGGCTGGGGATGTGGCCCAGTGATTATGTGCCCTTGGATTCAATCCCTACAAGAAAAAGGAATTTACTAACATAATTGGGAGATTTTCCATTCAAATGCAAATAAAGGGAGGTCTTGACAGAAAAGGAAAACCTTTGAAATGAAGAAGAATTACTCCCTGAAGCAGTGCCATGGATGTGAACTTAAAACAGTGTCCTAAAAGAGTATCATCCCTTTGAGGTATCATTTTACTGTATTTTTGTTTTTCTTATTTTGGCCACTCCTTGACCTTTTTCAGAGTGTTCTAACACTGATTTTGGAAGGGCTGTAATGATTCTTTGTAGTTGAAAGCAGTCTTTCAGGCCATGGGTGAGTGCCTTGCACATAGTAGACATCAATCAATAAATAAAGGAACATGCATTTTTGTGATGTTAGTAAAGGGTACTCAATTACAAAAGAAAATTCAAAGCTACTCTTTATGCTATTGTTTGAAACTAGATTAAAAACTTAAAGCTAAGTGTCTCAACATCTGTTTTATATGTAGTTGCTTTTCAGAAAACATAATATGACCTGAAGTTTACAAAAGCAAATTTGCTAAAGCCAGCTTGGGTGATTGTTGCCCTCTTTCACTTGAATTTTGGAAAAGTAATTGTCTCTAATTTCCAATCAGTATATGTGGCCATTTTTGTGATCATTGATGTTTTTGCAAAAAATAAAATTATTCTTGACACTTTTTTTTATCAAGATCCACTTAACCTGAGGAAACCAGCAGAGTGCAGTGGAGGGTCCATAGTAAGAATCAAAATACCTTATCTACCATTTGGGTTTAGGATTATTAAAGTGATGGGTACAGAGAAAATGAAAACTCAAAAGATCACAGTGGGAAGAGAATAGCACAGGATTTGAGAGAAGCCTGGACAGGCCTGGGTGTAAATTACCATATAAAWAGTGTGGAATTTTCCAAAATTAGGTTAATGGTTTATGAGAAGAGACTGCTGAACTCATCAGTGACTGTACTAGTTTATTAGGGACAGTTCCAGTTTAAATCAGTGGGTCGTTATATATGTAATATGTTATATGTAAGTGTCCCCTGTTCATGGCAACATTCTGTTTAGAATATTTGCAATTTGGTAAGGGGCAAGAGGAATAAACCTTTCAATTGAAGATTTGAGACTTTAAATTATGAAACTTTTATGGTAAACTTAAGTAGGATTCCACAGGCAGGAAAATTTAAAATCACCTGTCTGATGAGAATTAAGGGAAAATGTTTAAAAAAAGGGGGTAGGGGTGGGGGTTAACCATGTGAGAGAATCTCTTCTTAGCTCACATAAAGTATGGTTTCTAACACTTTGGATTTACTTGTGTCAATATTCCTTACTCCTCCACTCTAGCCATCAATTTCCTCATTCGAAGGAATTCAAACTGAAATTCTTAGTTTTAATTCATAAGACTACATACAACATTAGGACTAGTTGTTAATATTAGAAAATGATTAATGAATAAGTTAACCAAAATCATAGTTGTATTCTTTATCATCTTTACACAGCTTCCTGATGTTGTTTGTAAAAAATCAAAATTTCAGATCTCAAAAGTGGGTTTAGTTTTATCAAATTTTGGAGAAAATTATTTTTGTGGTTGATGGTTGATTTTGTGTCAGGCATTTAACCCAGGAGCAGATTACCACTGAGCTACATCCCCAGGTGTGTGTGTGTGTGTGTGTGTGTGTGTGTGTGTGTGTGTGTGTGTGTGTGTTTGAGACCAGACTTGAACTTGCAATCCTGTTGCTGGGATTACAGGCCTGTTACACTCTCCTAGCTAATTGGCTTAATACTCTTAACACATTCTTAATTTTGTCCCTCTCCCTCATGCTTGTGGTATCTGTAGCGGATTAAATATATTCTAGCACCAATACTCCATTCAGCTTTTGTCAAATTTAGTTTATCTGTTTTAGTAGTTTCCCTAGTACATAAACAGTGATTGGGAAAATACAGATTTTCTTAACATTCTTTAAAACAAAAGCTTGATTTTTTTTTTAATCTCAGCTGCTTTTAAATTGACCTTTTAATGAGCTAACAAAAATGGAAATAGATGCTTTGGTGGCACACACCTGCAAACTAGACTTAAGGAAGCTAAGCAGGAAGAGCACAAGTTGGAGGCCAGTTTCAGCACCTTAACTGAGACTTGTCTTCCTGGGTACCCTCTTCAGTACCACAAATAGATGAATAATAATGTTTTAATGATGYTTTTACTATAGTTAATGAATTACAAGTTAGCAGGTATGCCTGTTGTGCCTTATAAAGGCAAAACTTTCACATGTCTAATAAAGTAYACAATAGGAGACCATTTGTTTCCAAATGAGTTTTAATTTTCCACAGAGAAATGTATTTGCCCCCTGACTTTAGCTTGGTTACCAGGAAAACCCTTTACACAGAACAACACCTACCTCAATCTCTGGTAGGCACCCCTTGGGACTGAGGATCGAACCTAGGGGCTCTGGGCTACTGAACTACAGCTTTGATCCTTTTTATTTTTTGAGACAGGCTGTCGCTAAATTGCTCAGGCTAGCGTCCAAATTATGATCCTCCTGTTTCAATCTCTGGAGGAGCTGGGCATAAGAAACTATGTTCAGTTCCTTTCTAATTGAGCAATCACAAGGATGGAGAAACTAGTCCGTTTACAGTTTCTTTGTAAACTATTTAAAATATTTATTTATTGGTACCGGGACTTGAACTCGGGCACACAACCACTGAGCCACATCCCCAGTCCTATTTTGTATTTTAGACAGGGTCTCACTGAATTGCTTAGTGCCTCGCTTTGCCGAGGCTGGCTTTGAACTAGGAATCCTCTTGCCTCAGCCTACTGAGCAGCTGGGTTTACAAGCCTGCGCCACCACACCTGGCTAAGAGAGTATCTTAACTAGTTTACATACTTTCGTGGTCATGATAATTTCTTAAAACTATGGGAAGCTCTCAACAGCATATTTAAGAATAATCTTATCCATTTCTTACCCCATTGCAACAACCTCTGTCCTTCTCTGAATCCCCTTTGAAGAAATAGGAACTCTTTAGACCAAAAGTGCTCACACAACGTTTGCTGGGTTTTCCCATTGACTTATAGACTTATAACAAGACTTGTTCTTTATCCTTTTTCTAAAGGTTTAGAGGGGAAACTTTTTGAACCAGAAATCTTAAAATCTGGGCATTAATTCTTCTCCACTCAATATGGCATAATGGTCAAATAGGCCCTAATGCCACCAGGCAGGAGCAAAACAAAGCAATCTGCAGCGAAGGCGCTTGCACAGAGTCACGGGCTAAGGGTAGGTCAAAGCTCCACGCATTTCAGAAATGTGTCTAGTTTGGGTAATTTATGAGCCAAGGGTGGGCCTAAGCCTTTGACTAAGGGGCATCAAGAAACTCATTTTTTCAAAAAGAAATGCATATTCTTTTTTTGGGGAAAAAAGACCCACTAAATCCCAAATTATCAAATTAGGTCTGGGAAACATTCTGTTAGGATTCCCACTCTTCCAGGAAAGGATTTGAATTTGCGGGGCGTGAGCGAAAAGGAGCGGAAACTAACATTGCGGCGCAGGCGCAGGCGGGCATCTTCTATTGGCCACGTCGGTTCCGGCGTCATTGGGGGAGGGGTGGGTCCCTTTTTGCCCTTGCGCCCGGCTTCCCCTCCTACTCTTGTTTGACGCGGCGTTGAGGTGCTGGCTGTTGGTATTGCGGAAGGAACCTTGGCATCCCCAGCCTCTAGTTCCGGTGGCTACGTAGGTTTTTAACTTACGAAACCTTGTGTTTGAAGTGGTGGTTCGTTCATCCTCCAGTACTTAGTCCCTCAGACTGGAAGGGTGGCTCTGTGTTCTCCAACCTTCGGAGCTGGGTGGGGGAGGGGCGCTTGATAAGACGTTTTGTGCAACCCCTCCCACCGCCTCCGCTTGGGACCGCCCTATACCTTAACCAAACACCCAACTTTAGTACCAGGCCTCCCCGCCGCGCCAGAATCCTTTTGATAATATTCGCGAGTATTTGACAGGGGCGACTTAAGTATTAGAAGCCGTGCTGGTGATTCTGAAATCGTATTAATTGAAAACGTGCACTTTTAAAATTGCGATTTATTTATTTATTTTTACTGCATGGGTTAGGGCCGGACGTCAACCTACTATATTGGGGCTTCCGAGCCATGGCGACGAGGGAACCAGGAGATGCCTTGGCACAGTCCACCCTTCCCTCTTCTGCCAGTCACAGCAAGGAAGCGCCTGAAAAACCTAACTATGCTCTCAAACTTACTCTTGTGGGGCATACGGCAGCAGTATCATCAGTTAAGTTTAGTCCTAATGGAAAATGGCTAGYAAGTTCTTCTGCTGATAAACTGATTATAATTTGGGGTGCATATGATGGAAAATATGAGAAAACACTATATGGTCACAATCTGGAAATATCAGATGTTGCCTGGTCATCAGATTCCAGTCTTCTTGTTTCTGCCTCAGATGATAAAACTTTGAAGATATGGGATGTGAGGTATGGAAAATGTTTGAAAACACTGAGGGGACACAGTAATTACGTCTTTTGCTGTAATTTCAATCCGTCATCCAATCTCATCATTTCAGGATCTTTTGATGAGAGTGTGAAAATATGGGAGGTGAAAACAGGAAAGTGCCTCAAGACGTTATCTGCTCACTCTGACCCGATTTCTGCTGTTCAGTTTAATTGTAATGGGTCCTTGATTGTGTCGGGTAGTTATGATGGTCTCTGTAGAATCTGGGATGCTGCTTCAGGTCAGTGTTTAAAAACACTTGTTGATGATGATAACCCTCCTGTCTCTTTTGTAAAATTTTCTCCAAATGGTAAATACATTCTAACTGCAACTTTGAACAATACTCTTAAACTGTGGGATTACAGCAGAGGCAGATGCCTGAAGACCTACACTGGTCATAAGAATGAGAAATACTGCATATTTTCCAGTTTTTCAGTTACTGGTGGAAAGTGGATTGTGTCTGGCTCAGAGGATAACCTGGTTTACATTTGGAACCTTCAAACTAAAGAGATTGTGCAGAAATTACAAGGTCATACAGATGTCGTGATCTCAGCCGCTTGTCATCCTACAGAAAACATCATTGCATCGGCAGCATTAGAAAATGACAAAACAATTAAACTGTGGATGAGTAACTACTAAAGCCAAGTTAGCAAAAAAACTTATGTGAGGGCTGGGGATGTGGCTCAAGCGGTAGCGCGCTCGCCTGGCATGCCTGCGGCCCGGGTTCGATCCTCAGCACCACATACCAACAAAGATGTTGTGTCCGCCGAGAACTAAAAAAAAATAAATATTAAAAATTCTCTCTCTCTCTCTCCTCTCTCACTCTCTCTTTAAAAAAAAAAACAAACTTATTTGAAAGATAGTTTTTCTAACTGGTATGTTTTTTATTTCTTTTAAAAAATTACCTTCAATTATAAGACTTACAGATTTATAATTCAAGAATACAAGACAAGACAGTTTCGAAAGCAAGTCTAGAATCTACCTGGGGCTTCTGACTTCTAATCTTGATGCCTGTTAGGAATCTCAGATATATTTGTCCCTGTACAGGTTTCTGTTCTGTTCCTCTTACTAACTTTTGTAGAGGCTTGGTTTACTTGGGAAATAGTTCAATTAGACAGCATGTCTGATTGAGGTGGGCAAGAAATTTTAAATGAACAACAGCATGAGGCTAGGGTGGTAATAAGAGGACTGCAGATACATGTCACGTGCCTCCAGCACTTTTAGTGATATGTGATGGAACATGAAACAGTATATAGAATTATGTCAGTAAGTTGGGGAAAGTAATTCCTGATTTTTTAATTAAAGGACCTCTGCCTCATTAGATAGTGCCATCGTGTGATGGCAACGTATGCTATACTTGAGTGGTGAGACTGCGGTCCTTCAGGATGTTACCTATCAACTCACATACTTCAGACTCATTGTACAGAAGTTACTTCTTATGCCATCACTGTCTGTCTCCCTCCAACCTCAGTGGACAGAAGAATTAGATGTTCTTGCTTTTTCTATAATTCCTAAAACTCAAAATACATTATTTACCAATTTGTCATAATGTTTTCATGGGCCATGTTTCCAGCAGATAATGAGCTCTGTGGGATCAGGAAGTTTTGATCCCACAGAGCTGATTATTCACCTTTGTATTCTGTTTGATGAATGACAATGAATGTGATGCCACAACTTCCTTTATTCCTTGCCTCCTTTCAATAGGTTTTAGTAATAAATACCTAATAATATCATTATTGATTAAAAAGTGTCTAACCCTAGCCACACATATTAACTTTATTCACACAAAGCTTGCAGGAAATATAAGGTAAAAAATATAAAGTACAAAATGGTTTCTACCATGTAGACATGAAACATACAAAAAAAAATCTAGACATTAAGCAAAAATTAGTACAACAGTAATTTTAACTGAAAGCAATAAAGGCAAAACTGTCTTGCTTCTTTTATATTTTATAGCACCTCATCAATTGCTCATTAAATTGTATTTGACAAATTCTGAGGAATATATTATAGTGACTAGTAGAGTGCTGAGAGCTTTCTGAAGAATAAGTTACTAGTCAGGTGTTAGTGTTAAGAGGTTGATATATGGGGCTGGGGATGTGGCTCAAGCGGTAGTGCACTYGCCCGGCATGTGTGCAGCCCAGGTTCCATCCTCAGCACTGCATACAAAGATGTTGTGTCCGCCAAAGACTGAAAAATAAATATTGAAATTCTTTCTCTTTTTTTTTTTTTTTTTTAAAAAAAAGGTTGATATATGAGAACATTGGAAAGAGTATAGTGTTAGTGTTAGAGGCAGGTCTGAAATTGTGGCTAAGAAATTTATATTTAACCCATAAAGAACAGTCATAGTGGGCTGGGGTTGTGGCTCAATGGTAGAGCACTCGCCTAGCACTTGAGAGGCCCTGGGTTCAATCCTCAGTACCACATAAAAATAAATAAAACAAAGGTATTATGTTCAACTAATTCTAAAAAATAATCAGTATGTTATTAAATAGAGAATAACAGAATGAGAAATGATTGTGTGAATGGTAACAATTATGAGCCAATGGTTTAATGAGACATTTTWAATTTTTATTAAAAGAAACCTGCAGGAATCACATTTAAATGTTCATCAACAGTTAAAAATAGTTTCTATGAAGAAAGGTTAACTACTTTTAAAAGAAGTACTACATTAAAATCTACCCAAATTTAAAACATTGGTTTAGGAGTCCCAAAATAATCAAGAAAAATGAATCTTCTAAAATGTATGAGAAACAATAATGCTTTTTTTTGGCAGCAGGGATTGAASTCAGGGGCACTAGACCACTGAGCCACATCCCCAGCCCTATTTTGATTTTTAGAGACAGGGTCTCACTGAGTTGCTTAGGGGCTCGATTTTGCTGAGGGTGGCCTTGAACTCTCCAGCCTCAGCCTCCCAAGCCCCTGGGATTACAAGTGTGTGCCACTASGCCTAGAACAACAATGCTTTTTGATAACTTTGCAAGTGATATCTAAAAGGAAGCTAAAGTTATAGACTGCTCTAGAATAAAGTATACAAACAGATAACATCAGATTAAGAAGCTATAATATGTTAGATTATACCTAGCGTTTTATTAAACAAAACTCCCAAACAGCAGCATATATTTCTTTTTAATTTCTATTATAACTGAGGAGAACTAGCACATTGGGCTGACTATAATGACTTGACATCCATTAATACTAATGAGGCATATTGAGAATAAATGAAGTGGTTATCATAGAAACCATCATCCATATATAAGTGAGACAACTTGGCATCCCAAAGTCAAAACTAAATGAGATGTAGGCTCATTTTTCACACTAAAAAGAACATGAGATTTTCATAAGGAATTTAGTTTCTCAGGCAGCAGGAAAGGAATCAATTGGGAACCATTATCCATGGAGCTAGGAACTGACTGCTGTGGCCCCCAGCAAATCCATGATGCTAGAATTTCTAAGTCCCCCAAACTCCTGGCCAGACCACTCTCATCACCTTGCCAGGACATTTTCAAATAATGTTCTCCAAAGAAACTCCATCTTTGAGATCCCAAAGTTACAGTGWGGTCTGGCTGCTTCTCAGGGCTTTCTCAGGAGTCAGCCTCCCCAAAGTACCATAGCATTGTAATCACCTGGGCAATGTCATCTGATCCTCCTTACCCTTAAGAAATAAGTACCAGAGGGAGAAATACAGAATGAGAAGCCATTCTGGCCGCTGGAGAGAAGTCACTTTAGTAATGGGAACAAAAGTAATAAATCAGATATCTGATTCTAACAGTTAATATTAAGGCTGAAGTAAGTTGTCTCATTTTAAAWTTTTTTCCAAAAAGCTGGGAGACTGCATTTTACTTGGATTAAAGCCATAAAACATAAAACAAGTCTTTAAGAAAATTTATTTGTATATCTATAGCAGAAAATAGGGAAAGAGTATAAGTCTGTGCAAAACATATAGTGATGATGTGGAGCCTCACCATATCCTTTAAAATACAGGCTTGCTGCAACATTATTCCTGGATTTTCAAAATCCAGCCAGGACGGATGCTTCTCTGCTACTCTGTTTTAGCCTTCATGGCTGCTTCCTCTCTGAGACGAGCTTTTTTTTCTAAGTTCAAGCTTGTTAAAGACTCATTTCTTTTGGCAGCCTAAAATGAAGTAAATTTGAACAGGTGATTATGTCAAGTTGAAAAGAATGTCATTATCTTACAGTGAGGACAGCAGGGTCCTCCACACGCGTTCTATATCCTATGATGCTCCAGACTACAGTGGCCTATCTAAGCACAAGATTAGTGTACACCTCTCCCTTTCTGGCCTCTTTCTATAGATTTGCAGCTTCTTTTCCTTACATTTTTCATTCCCTTGTTTTTCCCTTTTTCTTCCGTTCCTCTCCACTTCTTGTTGATATTAAATACCTTCTCAATTTCCATTTTTTCTCCTTTTACTTTTCTTTGTTGCTACATTTCTCCTTCCCAACTCTTCTAGCTCCTTACTGGAGCTTACTTACATAAACAGATTAGTATGGTATAGAACATGAGAGGAACTCATGTACATATGCCTTGGATGATGCGAAAAGAAATCCCAAATATTTGCTTCTGCAGTAAACAAACTCAATAAGTTTAAACAAATATACAAAAGCAGTGCACTTTTCTGAGAATTCTGAAAACCCACATGTCCTCTTTAGAAGCTTCTGAAGGTTTCAATCTGAGAACTATGCATGAGAAATAAAAAATGGAGACAAGGAAAACTGAAGTAGGACAGCATCAGTGTTTTCAAGAGAACTCGGCCTAGGTCAGCACTCTTGCCCGTTTGTGCTCCCGTGAGGTCAGCCTAAAATGGGCAGTGTTTTCATTTAACTGCAAGACTCTAAAAAGAGAGCTAAAAGTTCATTTCCTTTTACTCTGAAGTCACTGAGGATAAAGAAATAGTTAACAATGGGTGTGTAGAAGAATCTTTTTAGTATCTGTTAATAGTTATAAGACATCTCTTCCAACATGGAAGCTGTAACACACAGTACCAGACATTAAAAGATAGTTTTGACCAGCACTACTGAATACAAAAATAATTAATAAGATAAAAATAACTAATAAAATAACTAATAAGATAAAAAATAACTAATAAGATAAAAAGGTTTGGTAACATGCAAACTTGAATCTAAATTTTTGCTTTGATACTTTGAGTTTGGGAAAATTGTCGAGCATCTCTTAAGTTTCAATTTCTTCCTTTATTAAAAAACAGTAATAAGAAAACTATATCTCAGGTTCTGACGATTATTATGGTGAGTAAATGAGCTTAACAGTTTACCCTTCTACATGGTAAGCACTCAATAAATGGGAAAAATTTTACTGTACTTCCATTAGGTAGCTCTGTTATAAGGGAGTTGTGTAGCCTTGGGTAAGTTACTTAAGCTTTCCAGGCTAGTTTCCTTATCTATAAATGAGTACCTATCTTACAGTGCTGCTGTGAGGTTCAAATGAGACAATAATAGCCAAGTACCTGGAATGCAGTAAGAATTCAATTAGCAATAGCTGTTAATTATAATCTATTTAAAAAAAGATTTCTAGATTTTCATTCCTATGTGCTACTTAGAAGCAGTTCCTTAAACATATGGCTACATTTGGCTGAGCCTCAAATAAAGAATCATGATAAGATGTTCACCATGATTAAAGCAGTTATAGTGAGGATAAATAAGTCCATGTACTGACAGTGCTTTATAAATATGCAAAGTGCTATAAAATGCCACTGTCCTATTTCTTGTTTCATGTTATTTATGACAACTATGATAACACTTTTTTACACAAAACTAATATTTCTTCATCATGCCAAAATTAGGCCTTGCTATTTATCCTGACACAATAGCTCATGTTTGTCCCACTTTGTCTTTTGTTTCCTATCATTTCTTATGTAGAAAATAGCCTCTTCTTGGGCAGTAAACACAAGGGTCAATCCCTGCTTTCCTCCTGGTTCTTTGTGAAGAGAATTCAGACACAGGGGAACCCAGTCTCACCTTCTTGCCCTCGATAATCATCAGGATGCATCCTGCCACTGTCAAGGCGATCATTATATAGCTAACCTTTACCCGAATCTTGTTCTTTGCAGCATCAAGCATCTCAAACCTAATAATACAATGTGATCAAGAGACAATGTTAGTAACTTTTCTATTTCTGAAGTTGCAGCAAAATATCAAGTTCTGTGTACCATAGTTCAGAAGTATAATGTCTATAAACATTTAAAAAAGGAGGTAGGAACTGGAGATCTCATAGATTCTTTGGGAGGATGGGCCATTTTCACAACTCATTTATGTGTTTAACAGCAAGATAACAAAAATTTAATTCAAAATAAGTAAGAAAATAAGAAAGAAAGAGCCAGGAACAAAACAAACAAAAATAAAAAAAACCCCAACCCCCCAARCCAGCAAGGCACATTAAACTACTTTTGCTATGGTGAGCCCCAATTTTGGCTCTCAGGTTTCCAGCAGCCATCACTAAAAATGAAACCATTAGCTGAATCTCCTTTGGGTTCTTAAGAAAATATGTGATATAATGATTGAAGAATGCCTTGGTAATAGACCCTGCTATGACTTCCAACACAAAGTACAATTCGGAAAGAAAACCAACATGAGAAAGTCAAACAATGTGCTCTATATAATCTGTCTTTTTGCTCCGTCTTGAACTAGGAATAGATTTGAGAATATCTGAGCCTGTAGAAAGATCCTTTAAGTGAGAATCCCTTAATGTTTATCTTTTAACTAATGATTTGCTAAAACTGAGTGAAAGTTTGCTTTGGCAAGTGCCTGGAGTGTAGTAGCTCTGCTAATCTGTCCTCTTGAGTGTACACCCATGTGCCCCAATAGAAAGTTGGGGGTTGGATCATCATCTTGGATGAAAGCAAAGGGGCATAACATGGAAGAGTCTAAAGAGAAAGCCACTCTATCTTGGTTATTTTGTAGGTAGACAGTGGTTCTATTGCCTGGATGCCTGTAGAATCTCAAGGCACACAGCATGTGGAGTCATAAGGGGGCCCAAGATAAAGAATTTCTGGTCTCCTCCAAAGTATACACAGTAAGTAATCATCTTTAGATGATGGAATTGGAGTGCTTTTTAGCTTTTCCTCCCCCACATCTTTAACACAAATTATTTTGAAAAATCAGATGGGGAAATGGTTTTTTAAAAGTGCTCGGAAGGAGGCACAGGGCTTGGAATGTTGCAGGTGGATAGGAGGAGGACCCTTAAATATGATATGAGCTGGGAACTATAAGGCAGCAATGTGGAAGGGGTTCGCTAGGTACCAAAACTGGGCCTGTAGTGGTAGAAACCAAGAACAACTTCTAAAAGCAGTGAMTTACTCAAGAGCATCTGAGATCACACTACTACCCATTTTGGCTGTATTTTATGTTAACTGGTATGTCCCACTGAAGTGCTGTGATCATCATGTACAGGGATATATTTTACAGGTAAAGGAACATTTAAAAAAGTAAAATACATTTAAATAAGGCTATGATATTGTTATTCATCCCATAGGAAGCAATAAGGTTAGGCAGTACCTGTTCAGAACTACCAGCTCAAGGATAAATGGTTGCCTGAGTTCAGGAAAAAGTCTTTTGGAATGACTCACAGACAATATTTCAGACCTGAGGTGATCCTGGAACCAACTAAAGGGCAGGCTGGGGAAGGTGTTCCATAGCAAAGCCTATACACCATCAGTTAGAAAAATGTGTAGCAGCTAGAATATTCAGAAAGAAATCACAGCACAGACAAGAACTTGATGAAATCACTGTTATTTCTTGGGTGCTCTTATTTTCCAGGAGAGTACACTAACACAGACAAGGGTTTTTCTGCTGAAACAACCCTAGTGAAAATAATGTGCTAATCTGACTGACAGAAGCAGAAGGGCTCTACTGCTAGGTGCAGGGGACACAAGCCTATAGTCCCAGCTACTTGGGAGGCTGAGATGGGAAGATCACCTGAGCCCAGGTGTTCAAGACCAATCTGGACAATACAGTGAGACCGTATTTCAAATAAATAAGTAAAAAATTTAAAATTCCTTTTTTTTTTTTAAAGAGAGAGTGAGAGAGGAGAGAGAGAAGAGAGAGAGAGAGAGAGAGAGAGAGAGAGAGAGAGAGAGAGAGAATTTTTAAATTTATTTTTTAGTTCTCGGCAGACACAACATCTTTGTTGGTATGTGGTGCTGAGGATCGAACCCGGGCCGCACACATGCCAGGCGAGTGCGCTACCGCTTGAGCCACATCCCCAGCCCCTTAAAATTCTTTTGTAAGAGAAAATAAATACTATCTTTCTGGAAAATAGATCCTGAATGAACCCAGTTCTTTTTCAATCACGAAAACAAGAAGGCCTCAGAAGAGTTTACCACCTGAAAGAACTTTTAGGAACTTTGTGTGAAGTCTGTCTGAGTAGGATGGTGCCCAGAGAGGAGCACGCGCGTACTTCTCAGAACCCCTTTTGGCCAAGATGCCTACTAGTCAGGGTGTTTGAGAACACTGCTGCCAAGTGGTGTTGAATCTGACACCCAAGGGATATTTGACAATATCTAGAGATTTTTTTTTTCACCACTAAGGGAGTGATGCTGGCTTCTAAAGGTTTTGTAAAAGCCAGGGGTGCTGTTAAATATCCTCCAACACACAACTCAGGCCCTACAGCAGAATATTCCATCCTAAAATGTTAACAGTGCTAAGTTTGAGAAATCCTGGGTTGTAGGACCCTGTGCTCCATTATCTACGAAGTGAAAAAGTCCAGGATTATAGCCAAATCTATGTTTAAGGAAGTTAGTGACAGTAGGGACTCTTTTTTCCTCAGAAAAAGAATGTATTACACTGAAACTCTTCTATGCCTAACTCTTGAGTGGATTTTGTAGAATATATAGTTACTGTCACTGGTATCAGCATGATTTACCAAGATTAAATATAAAAACTTTAAAAAGTAAACATTATTGTTTAGTCACATTCCTGTAACTAGAAGATGAAGCTAAATATCAGCTTACTTTGGAATATCTGACAGACATAAGTTTTCTAGCACTTTTTTTTTTTTTGGTACTAGGGATTGAACTCAGGGGAACTTGAATACTGAGCCACATTTTTTTATTTTATTTAGAGACAGGGTCTATTTTTGTATTTTATTTAGAGACAAGGTCTCACTGAGTTGCTTAGTGCCTCATTTTTGCTGAGGCTGGCTTCAAACTTGAGACCCTCCTGCCTCAGCAGGCGTGCACCACTGCACCAGGTTTCCAGCACTGTTTTTATTCTAGATATTTTCCAAAAACCAATTAGCAAAGTGAAAATATTTCTGAATTTGGTTGAAAGATTTTAAACAGTCGGGACTCAGAAGTTTTCCCTGAAAACAGATCAGTGAGAAACACAAGCTGATTACAATATTGAGTTCAGCACTCACGAGATAGTCTCTGGGATTTCCTCTTCCTTTTTGAAGCGACCTGACCATATCAGGATCTTTCTCTCCCAATCTGTTGGTTTGTGTAATGGCACTCTGTGGCTGGAAGTGTCTGTGAGAAAAATAAGACAAGAAATTTTACTTCAGATTATAACTCCCAAATTTAGCAAGAGAAAAAATGCTATTTGTGCTTTTTTACTATTCACTAAATAGAAACACTGAGAAATTTCAAGCTAATTAGAGCTTTGTTAGAATGAAATTTCTTAGAAAGCTTTGTTTTTCTTTAACTCTTTTTTTTTTTTTTTTTTTTGTGGTACTGGGGATTGAACCCAGAGGCCTTCTACCACTAACCTAACCCCAACACTTTATTTTTGATCCAGGAGCTAAGTCACTCAGCATGGCCTTGAATTTGTGACCCTCCTACCTCAACCTTCTGAGTCCATGTGATTATAGGTGTGCACCACAGGCCCAGCTAGGATGCTTTGTTTTTCAAATGAGATTCCAAAATGCCCTGAGGATTGAGGTAAAATAAAAGTTGTATTTCTCCATATAAACACTAACTACTGAAAAGTAAAAGAACACCATGAACAAAAATATGAAGATAAGGATGAACTAAGAAGGGAATAGTAAGGAACTTTTCTGAATCCAGCAGAATGAATCTGTAAGGTAAGATCAGGTTATAAAACATCTTGACCACTAAACTATGGAGTTTACACCTAGTTTGGGAACTATGTTTTGTTTTGTTTGAGATGGGGTCTCACTCTGTTGCCTAGGCTGGTACTGAACTCCTGGGGTCCAGGGATCCTCCTGAAAAACTGGCACTATAAGTTGTGCCACCACTCCTGGCTTGGAAACTATATTTTGAAGCAAGGAAAAGATTAATGTTTTAATCTATATAATGGATGGAAGAAAGAAAGGGGGTAAAAAGTCAAAACAGGATCTGTAATATAAGGATGAGGTTATAATGTTCTGTCAGTGTTGTAACCATGGGAAGAAAGGTCAGTCTAAGGATGACTGAAATTATCTGGAGACTGATTAAGACAAAGAAGGAATCACCAAAACCCTCAAATTTGGAAGACTAAGAAAATAGTAGTACTGTTAGTCAAAAGACTACGGAAGAAACAACAGGAAATGAAAAAACACAATTACTGTTTTTTAAAAAATTTTGTATTTGTTCTACTTAGTTGAACATCAGAATGCATTTCAATTCATCATACACAAATGGAGTGCAACATTTCAATTCTCTGGTTGTACATGCTGTAGGGATGCACCATTCGTGTAATCATACATGTACCTAGGGTAACGGTGTCCATTTCATTCCACCCTCTTTCCTCTCCTCGTAACCCCTCTCTGCCCTCCCCTTTGCGCAGTCCAAAGTTCCTCCATTCTTCCCATGTCCTCCACCATCATAGATCAGTATCCACTATCAGAAAAAACATTCCACCTTGGATTTTTGGGATTGGCTTACTTTGCTTAGCATAATGTTCTCCAACTCCGTCTATTTACCTGTGAATACCATAATTTTATTCTCTTTTAATGCTCAGTATTCCATTGTGTATCTGTACCACAGTTTCTTTATCCATTCATCTATTGATGGGCATCTAGGTGGGTTCCACAGTTTAGCTATTGTGGAACTATATTCAGCTGCTATAAACATTGGTGCAGCTACGTCACTATAGTATGCTGATTTAAGTCCGTCCTTTGAGTATAGAACAATTACTGTTTTTTATCTTATTTTATTTTTATGGTGCTGGGGATTAAACCCAGGGCCTCACATAGGCTAGGCCAGGGTTCTACCTCTGAGCTTTATCTCAAGCCCCATAAATACTATTTAGATTTGTTACGTATGAAGGAAATTTATGCCATCTGAGTATGTTTCATTAATAAGACAGGAGTAGAGAAAAACATTTGTGCAAAGGGTGGCSAGTGAAGGTGGTAAAGAGCAGAGGACCAAAGACTCAGCCTTAGACCATGACCCAAGAAAAGGGACAGAGGAAAAAGGAAGCAGAGGGAAGTGCCAAAGAGGCAGATGAACAGAAAAAGCACCAAACTAAAGACYATGAGGGAAGCACAGATATGCCGGAGACTAGAGTCTCATCCCATCTTTCATCTACTACTTACATTGCTCTTGCAGGTCCATCCCCTTGATGGCTACACCTCATGCCTATCACCATACCTTTGTTTATGTGGCACCTTTCACCTACCTAATCAGAAGTCCACAATAAAAGGAATAGAAAAGTTACCAAGAAAAAAGTACAGAAACGACCAAAGGCAAGAAAAGAGGTCTGGAAGTACAGAAATAGTGCTGTTGTAGTATTATCTTTTATTTTTTCCAGCACTTGACACAATTTTCTTTATAATTATTAAATTTTTGGAAATAATATATACCCAATAGATAATTCAGAAAGTATATATGTTTAAAAAGAAAAATTTAAATCTACTCCTAATTTTATTATCAGGACATAGCTATTTTATTTATGTGACATTTAGATTTACTTCTAATTTTCCCATTAAATATATATTGGTTTGTGTAATGGCACTCTGTGGCTGGAAGAGAGAGAGAGAGAGAGAGAGAGAGAGAGAGAGAGAGAGAGAGAGAGAGAAAAATGCCTTTATACTCCAAGCTTTTCCCACAGTATAGTGATTATTCCTTAGGACAGATCCTGGAAGTAAAATACAAGGTCAAAGGATAAACACATTTTTAAGTACTTAACAAATATTCTTTAGGGATGGTTCATTTCCATGTAGTAAGTTCTGGACTTCCATGAAGCAGCAGTAGATAAATATCAGTTTTTATATTATATAGTAGTGACAGTGATAAGGATTTGAGTTAGGGATGTGGAATGTATGTGGCTACAGTTAATACCCAAACCTTAGTCTTGATTCTGCTATATTCAAAATGTAATTTCTTGATTTGGCTTTATTTTTGGGATTCCTTAAAAGATAATTTCTAGACCATTATTTACTTTGATACATCTGTACTACTAAAGCTCCAGTTCCAGCCCTTGAAGCAAGAAAGAAGAAAATGTCAAATGTAGAAATTATTGTGCCTGTGAACATATACAATATAGGAAGCTTAAACTACAAGTTTGGGCATGATGTAGGACCCTCTAAGATTACATCTCTTTTAGGTTCTTTTGATTCATAGTTGTCCAACTCTTTGAGAGATACCTATTGCTTGCTTAACTACAAAACCAATAAAAACTTACAGGATGGCGCTTTGGGAGTTTCCTGTGGTTTAGTGCAAAATCCATTTACTCGCTTCAAATCAGAGTTTCTGGTAAACCTTAGAGATGAGGCAGCATCTTTTTCATATAACCTAAAAAAATTCCCTAGAAAAGAGAGAAAAATATTTTCAGAGAGAAAATTTGACGTTTTCTCAAGATTAGAAATGCTTCTAAGTTGTGTGTTTAAAAATAGTAGCTCATTTAGAAAATTAATATACTATATGTAAGACACATAACTATTTAAGGTGCTATGCTTGGTGTTGTTTAAAACTATAAATACTTTGCTGATTAGGAAACTAAGAATCTCCAACATAAATGTTTCATCAACTATAAATTTTTATATAAGTAATTCTCACATATGTATTGTTATGATGACTCTGGTGGCAACACATGTATTATTATGGCATCCAGCTTGTTTAGGTAAAAGAATAGCAACCTCCTAGAAGTGGTAAATGAAGTCATCAAGTATAGTCATATATAAATACAGTTTTACACATAAATATGTAGTTTTATATTAACTTATAAAATATATGTAGTTTTTATGAAAAAATTAAATTCAAAGCACATATAAAAAGTATTACCAACTTCTACATGTTCATCACCCAGTTTCAACAATTATCAATACCTGCCAATAAATATTTTTCACCTAAATGTAATCATTCTCTACCCCCTATTGGATTACATAAAGCAAATTCCAAACATTATATTATTTATTCAATAAACACTTGAGTAAGCATCTCAAAACCACTTTCTAAAATCACATCCAGAATACCATTACTATAACTGAAAAATATTTCTTTAATACCAATACATTATGATCAAATGATACTAAGATTCAATTTCTCAAATGGGCTCATGGGTGTTATCATTATTGTTGTGGTGCTGGGGATAGAACCCAGTGCCTCACTCATGCTAGGCAAGCGCTCTAGCACTGAGCTATAACACCAGGTCCCCGCCTTGGTTTGTTCCAACTAAATGCACACATTGAATATGACTGATGCTTCCTGAGTTTTTAAAATCTACAGGTTTGTTCTCCCTTTATAACTTTCTTTTGGGGGGATGGGTAGGAGTCATGTATTTGTTGGAAAATCCTACAGAGCTTCCCTCATTTTAGATTTTGCTGAATGCATCACCACCATGTGATTTCTTGAAGACAGATTTTTGAAGGAGATAAGATTCAAGAGGATTTTTTTGCTAGATGATGTCATAGATAGTACTATGTACTTCCTATGAAATCACCTCTTAGGCTGAGGTGGTGGCGCATGCCTGTATTCCCAGGCTGAGACAGGATGATCTCGAGTTCAAAGCCAGGCTCAGCAAAAAATGAGGCACAAAGTAACTCAGTGAGACCCTGTCTATAAATAAAGCACAAAATAGAGCTAGGGATGTGGTTCAGTGGGTGAGTGCCTGGAGTTCAATCCCTAGTATCCAACCCCTGCAAAAAAAGTGTACACTGGCCTAGCATGGTGGCACACCTGTAATCCCAGCAGCTCAGGAGCCTGAGGCAGGAGGTTCGAAAGTTCAAAGCCAGCCTCAGCAACTTAGTGAGGCCCTAAGCAACTCAGCGAGACCCTGTTTCTAAATAAAATACAAAAAGGGCTGGGGACGTGGCTCAGTGGTTGAGGACCCCTGGGTTTAATCCCTAGTACCAAAAAATAAAGAAGTGTATACTGCCCAGCATGGGTCACCTGTAAATCCAGTGACTCAGGAGGGTGAGGCAGAAGGATCACAATTTCAAGGCCAGCCTCAGGAACTTAGCAAAATGTCACAAAATAAAAAATAAAAAGGGATAGGGGATGTAACTCAGTGGTAGAGTACCCCTGGGTTCAATCTCCAGAACCAAAAAACAAAACCCAAAACACCCAAAAATATGTACATCAACTTTGTCTCTTTGTGATATTAAAATTTATGGGTAAAGAATTGGGAGGCTGAGTGAGATAGGAGATTACAAGTTCAAGGCCAGTCTCGGTAAGTTAGAGAGCCCCTCAGCAACTTAGGGAGGCTCTGTCCCAAAATAAAAAAATAAAAACGGCTGGGGATTTGGTGCAGTGGTTAAGTGCCCCTGGGTTCAATACTTGTACAAAAAAGAAAAAATAATAAATTGATGGGTAGATGCTACCAGTCTGATTCACCCTTTATAAGGTTCCTCATCAACCTTTCATCTAGTGTTTTTTTTTTTTGGCCAGGAAAGGTGACTGTTTCATTAGGGAGTTACAAAATGGTAGTATTATTTTTTCACATTAATATTTGATTATCCTAAGGTATAAGTCACCAATAAAATGTTAAGATTAATGCTTCATTCTTTTTTTTTTTGGTACTGGGGATTGAACTCAGGGGCACTTGATCACTGAGCCACATCCCCAGCCCTATTTTCTGTTTTATTTAGAGACAGTKTCTCAATTAGTTGTTTTGCTGAGGCTGGCTTGAACTCCTGATCCTCCTGTCTCAGCCTCCCAAGCTGCTGGGATTACAGGCATGCACCACCATGCCCRGCTAATGCTTGACTCCTTTCCTTTATTTTCCAGTTTTCTAATTAGTGAATTGGGTTTCCTTGCAAACTTTTGTTTAAAATTAAAGAATATGCATTTTAACACATGTGATATACTCCAATCTGTTTCAGTTATTATTATATTAATGCTCAAATGTTCTAATCTTTAGTCATTGGGAACCCTATGAGACTGGCTCAAGTCCTTTTGAACATTGCTCAGTGATCACTGATAGCTTCCTCATCTCTGACAAGATGTTCTGGGCTCATTTTGAACATTCCTTGCCCCTGACCTGGAATCACACATTCCTCCAAGGGGTTCTGTTTCCTTTAAAGAAGAAATGGTACAAATTGGTTTTTAGAGACCCCCATAGAGAGTCTCGTGGTTTGTCACCATTTCTAAGCCTTTATAGTGAACAAATCAAGGAAACATTCTCTTCTCAAAATAATACTTTTAAGAAATTAGTTTAAGAAATTAACTTTCAGTGTGAATCACTGAATCAATCAATAATAATCAGAATTTACTGGGTGCAGTGGCGCACACCTGTAATCCCAGCGGCTCAGGAGGCTGAGGCAGGAGGATCCTGATTTCAAAGCCAGCCTCAGCAATGGCAAGGCGCTAATCAAATCAGTGAGACCTGTCTCTAAATAAAATACAAAATAGGGCAGAGGATGTGGCTCAGCAATTGAGAGCCCCTGAGTTCAATCCCCAGTACCAAATAATACTAATCACCACCATCATCATAATTTAAAACAGAGAAAACCAGAAAGTTTTATTTTTAATTTGTTCCAATTAGTTATACAGTTAAATGCATTTTGGCACATTGTACACAAATGGAGCATAATTTTTCCTTCCTCTGGCTGAACATGGTGCAGTGTCACTCCAGTAGTATAATCATACATATATATAGGGTAATAATGTCAATCTCATTCCATCATCCATCCCATCCCCACACCCTCTCTACTCCCCTTCCTCCCCTCTGCACAATCCTAAGCTCCTTCAGTCTTCCTCCCACCCCCATTTGGATCAGTATCCACTTATCAGAGAAAACACTTGGCCTTTGTTTTTTGGGTTTGGCTTATTTCACTAAGCATGATATTCTCCAGTTCATCAATTTACTGACAAATGCCATAATTTCATTCTTCTTTGAGACTAAGTAATATTCCATTGTGTGTATGTACCACATTTTCTATATCCATTCATCTGTTGAAGGGCATCTAGGTTGGTTCCAATTCACAATGGTTTAGCTATTGTGAATTGAATTGCTATACACATTGATGTGGCTGCGTCATTGTAGTGTCGGGAGCCGCTCTGGACAGGAGCTATGTACATATCTTTTTTTGAAGAGTTTGTGGAAGATTAATTCTAATTTTCCTTTAAATGATTGGTAAATTCACCACTGAAATGATCTGGGCTTGGGCCTTTTGTTGTTGTTGTTACTGTGTGCTTTTGCAGGAAGTTTTAAAACTATTCAATCTCTTTATTCAGTATAGAGCTTCTCAGATTTTCTATTTCTTTTTTTTTTACTATTTTTCTATTTCTTTTTTCAGTAATTTATGTCTTTTTAGACATGTGTCCATTTATCTATGTAATTTTTGGCATATAATTGTTCATAGTATTCCCTTGCATGCTGTATATTTGGCCACAGAAATACTTGTTGAGCTTAGTGGTCAGCTAATTAGAGACTTTAAAATGCCTCCTACAAACATAAATAAATAAATAAAATGCCTCCTACAAATTAGTTTGTCAGCCTTTGCTGAAGGACTCTTGAAGGTGCATTGAAGCAAGTCTTTTAACCATAGGAAGGCAGCTTACAATAATAACTTAGCCTTTAATTCCTGCTTGCATAGAGTCTAGATATGAGTCAGAGGTGAAGGTTTACGGATTTCTCAGGTCTTTCCTAGAGCACATTCACAATCTTGCAAATATTCCATCCCAGAAATATGTCAGATCTTTTCAATGTCAAAATGGAAATCTATTCCCCAGATTTTGCTTTCCAATTTTTCAACTGCTTCCTTTCTGACCCAGTGGTTATTGCCTTCCTATGTTATACTAAGTAAATGCTGCCATTTTCAATAAAACCCTCAGGAGAAGCTGTTTGCAAACAGGAAGATCTAAGTCAAGTGAAAAAGTCCTTTAAGTGGAGGTTCTTAGGGAGTCATCACAGAGATCAGACACTAAGCGTTTTCTGGAACTGGGGCTTTGAGGAGCTCCAAACCCATTTTACCTTCTTCAGTGTCTGCCAGACTGCTGATATTTGTAACTATTGGGATTTGTGAAGCTGAGAGGAGACAGGGATAAGGCAAGTTAAAACTTCACAAGAGCCTGGCACGGTGGCATGTGCCTGTAATCCTAGCAGCTCAGGAGGCAGAAGCAGAAGGATTGACTTCTGACTTCAAAGCCAGCCTCAGCAATTTAGCAAGATACTAAGCAACTCAGTGAGACCCTATCTCAAAATAAAATACAAAATAGGGCTGGGGATGTGGCTAAGTGATTGTGTGCCCCTGAGTTCAATCCAGGGTACTCACCTCCCATACCCCTGCAAAAAAAAAAACCCAAACCAAAAAACTTCTTAAGACTTGTTCTTACCATGATTCAGTAATTTTTTAAAAATAAATG